TGTGATATACACTTTGTAATACACTTGCACACTGAGAGGAGTGTGTGGTGAGAGACGGGGTCAATTCCAAGAGTAGTGGCGTCGGTTGACATACCTAGGGAGAGGTTGTAACCGAGCACTTGAGGAAGAGGACACGGGCTAGGACCAACACTTAGTGTGTAAAGTGTGATTGCATAGTGATTATATTGTGAGGTGTAAACGTTGTTCGGGTAAACGTAGAAAACCCGGTTGTGATAGTGGAGATCTCCTCGAGGTGAGGAGCGGAGACGTAGATCGTGGGGACTGAACTCCGTGATCATATCGTTTTGTTTATGATTGCATTGGCGTTCTTATTCTTGTTTTCATATCTTATATCGCCTTTGTGTATTGCTCATCATATTACCCTATCACTTGTGTAGATTGTTTATTTTACCCTTGTGTTAGTTTACATATCCTTGCATATATCATATTGTATATCTCTTTGGTAGGATATATCACCTTGTGTTAGTTTTATATCCTTACACATACATTGCCTATATCTCTTTGTTAGGATATTTTTATCATATAGGATATATATCTTGTTGTTCATATTGCTTATCCTAGCTAATATATATTGTTGTATTTCATACTTGCTAGGATAACTTATTAATTAATTTTAATTAGCATAAAATCGGATTAGATTAGCATAAGACCCTAATCACCCCCCCTCTAGGGTCCAACACATAGCTCATTATTTATATGATCCACTATCTAGTTCATATTGTTTACCCCTTGTGTTAGTTTCATATCCTTACATATATCATATATTGATTATATCTCTTTGCTAGGATATTTCTTGTTGTTCATATTGCTTATCCTAGCTCATATAACTTGTTGTATTTCATACTTGCTAGGATAACCTATTAATTAATTTTAATTGGTATTTAATCGGTTTAGATTAGCATAAAACCCTAATCACCCCACCTCTAGGGTCTAACAGAACAACCCTGCGGATATGTTGACCAAAATTGTTTCAAGTGTTAAGTTTGATCATTGTTTGGAGCTTTTGAACATTCTTCGATGTTGAGGCCTTTGGAGGCCATTTGGGTGAACTACGTTCGGCTTGATTCCTTGGGCAAAAGGATATGTAGGCAGTCTTTCAGATGCAGTCGGGTTTGGATTAGTTGATTTTGATGGGGGTGGGATTGTTTGGACTCTCGTTCGGGTTCCCGACTTGTTGTGGATTGAGTCTGTTGTCGTGAATTAATTTCACGACGTACTGGACACAACAAGTGGGACATTTGGTTATTTTGGTATCGGCTCAGTTTTGGGAAAACTTTACCGAGGTGGAGAATTGTGAACGACGGACGGGCCCACCCGTTTCACGTGCAGTGGGTGAAGATGTTTTCACGTGCAGTGGGTGAAGATGTCTTGGGCCCACCTACTTTACCCGAGACAACCCAGATCTGTTCCTCCTCCTATAAATAAACACCCTAAGTCAGCTAGGGTTTTTGGGGGCAGCGTGCAAAAAAAAAACGCAGAGAAATATTTGTTCGGCTGTAGCAAAGTACAGAGGACTTTCGACTGATTTGGAGGAGATTTTGAGCACTATTTGGAGCCGACTTTGAGAGTGTTTGTGCATCCCTTTTGAGAGAGAAATTAAGATCTTGTTTGAGGGTTTTATTTGTGAGATCTTGTGTGATTTTAAACCCTGTTTGTACTCTTTCTCTCTAATAGTAGATCTCCCCCCTCCTTGCCCCGTGGACGTAGGTAACTTGCCGAACCACATAAAAATAGTTTTTCTTGCTATGATTTGTAATAGCTTGTTTAGGTTCCCTCGACAAGTCAGTCCTAGAACTGATGAGAGGAAGAGTGTATATCCGGGAAAAGTGTACCTAAGGTGCCACCATAGGGTGCATCTAAGGATGCGCGATCTTGACCATTGATTCAAAAAAAAACCAAATACATCTCAGCCCTTAATTAATAACAATTTCCCATTAATTAAAAACAAATTTCTAAATTTGTTTAATCGGCCAAATCCTAGGAAAAATAATCGCGATCGTGGGGAATTCTACGCCGATCGGCCTCGACACCGCATTCCTCAACTTTGCCAAAAAAAACCAAATACATCTCAGCCCTTAATTAATAACAATTTCCCATTAATTAAAAACAAATTTCTAAATTTGTTTAATCGGCCAAATCCTAGGAAAAATAATCGCGATCGTGGGGAATTCTACGCCGATCGGCCTCGACACCGCATTCCTCAACTTTGCCCTCGACACCGCTTTGGATCACGCCGCCGATCGGCCTCGACACCGCTCTCCTCAACTTTGCCCTCAACTTTGCCCTCGACTTTGCCCTCGACACCGCTCCGGATCACGCCGTCGAGCGGCCTCGAACTCCTCGACACCCGCTCCGGATCACGTCGCCGAGCGGCCTTGAACTCCTCGACGTCTGCTCTCCTCAACTTCACCGCTCTCCTCGACTTCGCCGCCCTCGACATCCTCTCAGCGGCGTCGCCGTCCGCTCTTCTCCAGCTGCTCAACGCCGCTCTCCTCGACTACGCCCTCGACATCCGCTCCGGTCACGCCGCCTAAGCGCCCTCCAGTTTGCGGTTTTAAATTAAAATTTGGTATGTTAGTTTTTAATTAAAAATGTTTGCTCCCTAGTTTCTGAAAGATGAAGTTTTTAATATCATACTTTAACTTTACATATCCTCAGACGTGTATGAACCTCTCTTCTTGATTTACATGCACAAAATAACACAAATGATTATGCATATGACCCGAGAAATAATCCCAAGTTGTACTGTGACAAGATATACCAATCCACAAATGCTAACCCTTTATACAGCACATCCTTTCTCGTTCTCTGTGTTTTTATATCACTGTGCCAACATGAAAACAGGTCTAAAAGTCTATAGGAAACAGACTTAAACTGCCAGCTTACATTGAATATGAACTTTAAATTTAGTGTGAACTATTGCATATTTATTTCATTTGAGAGTCGAACTTGTATATTGAATTTGGTACACTTTGAGCTACTATTCATTGTGGTTGATTTTAGTTTTTGAGTTTGGATAATGAAATTTTCTAGTGAATTTGAAAGATCAACGTGATGACTATTTTTTAAAGATTTTTAACTTTTTATATGTGATAATTAGATAGCTTGTATGGACACTCCAACAATTCTCCCACGTGATACAACAATGGATGAAGATGAAAACAAACATATAGGGCTTGATCTTGAAGGCGAGCACCATGATCAACTATCTACGGCAAGTTTTTTCCTCAAGTGATAATACCCTATTATTTATAGTGTACTGCTATCTAATGACATATACCAAATATTTGTCTTTTAGCATGAACTGGGTTTTTTTAATAATTTTTGTTTCTCTATTTTTGTAGGCATCCGAGCATGAGGAGAATGTTGATGGCCCTATTGGTGTCGAAAATAGCGAAGGTAATCTTGTTGTTGATCCATATATCGGAATGGAGTTCTCTACTCAGGAGGAAGGTTATAATTTTTACAATGCATATGCCAGACTTAAGGGATTTGGTATTCGCAAGGGTCATACAGCACGGTCGAGAAAGAAAGATGCAATCATATCTAGAACCTTTGTATGTGACAAAGAGTGCTTTAAATATTTAAAAGATAAAAGAGAAGATGGTCGGAATATAATTCGAAAGTGTGATACAAGATGTGGATGCAACGCAAGGATGGTTATTGGACTTGATAGAAGTACTGGAAAATGGTTGGTGCGAAGTTTAAACGTTAATCATAATGGCCATATGTTAACCACCCCAAATCGGGTAAAGAAGCACTACTCGCATCGGACACTTCATCGATCTCGAGCGACAAAAAGGTTGATAGATACTCTTGACAGCCAAGGTTTACGGCCTTCTACCATTTGTAAGGTTTTAGACGTTGCTCATGGAAATGAACAAGGCTCTCTCACACGACAAGAATGCCAAGGTCATCTAAGAAGTAAACGAAGAAACAATTTCGGCCATGAGTGCGTGAACATAGTTCGTCAATTTCAAGAGAAAAAGGTATCTGATCCTCAATTTTACTTTGCACTAGATTTAGAAAATGATGGGACGATGAGAAGTGTTTTTTGGATGGATGGTAGGGCGAGGACTTCTTACTTGCAATTTGGAGATGTTGTTTGTTTTGATGTTACATATAGAACAAACAATTTAAAATTACCGTTTGCACCATTTACGGGTGTTAACCATCACCGACAATCTATTCTATTTGGGTGTGCACTATTGGCCGATGAAATGGAGGAGACCTTTATATGGTTATTTAGCCAATGGCTGAAATGTATGTCAGGTATAGCACCATTAACAATCATCACTGATCAAGATAAAGCTATTTGTAGTGCAATTCACAAAGTTTTTCCTCAAACTCGACATCGCTTTTGTTCTTGGCACCTTCATAGGAATGCATTACAAAATTTTCAATCAATGCGTTATGATTTTGGTGATGAAGTTTCTATAAAGTATTACAAATGGTATTGGAGTAAATCAGAAGAAAAATTTGAAAAGCGCTGGGAAGAAATGAGGGATAAATATGGTGCAGATAAAAGGAGCTGGTTAGTTAATTTATACAATCATCGAGATCATTGGGCTCCTGTGTATCTTAAAGATACTTTTACTGCAGGAATGACATCTACTCAGCGGAGTGAGGGAATTAATGCTTTTTTTGATCACTTTGTTAATTCCAATACCGAGTTACATGATTTTGTTAAGCAATATGATAATGCTGTCAGAGCTCGACGAGCGGCCGAACTTGAGCAAGATTTTAAGTCCACAAACACAATTCCTACATTGATAATTGATCATCCAATTGAAAAACAAGCTAGGGAGAATTATACAAAGAACATGTTTACTATCTTTCAGAAAGAACTCAAGGATAGTTACTCCATGCTTCATGAAAAGTTGTCGAAGGACGGCGCAAGTGTTACTTATGCCGTTTGGAATATAGATAGGGAGGCTGGAAGCAAGAAGGTAGAAAAGCATCATGTTGTCTTCGATGCATCCAAAGAAAAAAGAATTAAGTGTTCTTGTGCAAGATTTGAGATGGAAGGTATATTATGCAAACATAGTTTGCACATTTTAGTAAAGAAGCAAGTATTAGAAATTCCATCAAGATATATTATGCAACGATGGACAATTAATGCAAGACATGTTGGGTTTGGAGTTGTTAGAAATTGCATTACAAATAGTAAAGACCAACTCTCTATCATTAAACATTGGGCTCTTAGGAGTAGATGCAACAAGGCACTAGAAGACACATTGACTTCAAGTACACTTCATGATAAGTTTAGTGCTTTTTTAGACTCATTTTTTGAAGAAGTTGAGAATTCCAAGATTGAGAAGGAACATAACGACAATGGAAATGAGAGCAATGCCAGCAATAAGATGCCTACTTCATCCATACCCATCTCTATAGAGGAAGCAACTCAAATTACTATTCGTGATCCAGATAAGCCCGTTGCCACGAAGGGACGACCAACTCAGGCTACTAGAATTAAGTCCGGAATGGAAATAGCTCAAGAAAAGAGTATAAAAAAGCAAAGATTTTGTGGATTTTGTAAGGGAAAAGGACATTATATAACAAGTTGTCCTTTAGCTAAGGTATTATATTTCATCATAATTTGATCCCCCCCCCCAATTTCGATGCATTTTTCATAATAAAGTTATTTTTTTTTGTAGATGAAAAATGTTGCAGGTGGAGGTCGAGAAAGTTAATGGAGAGCTAAAACAAATTAGTTTGCAAGCGTATTTCCCTGACTTACAATAACCATCATGTGTTTCGGAACATTGTGATAATTTGAACTAAAGTTATTAATGTATGGATGCAATTATTTGTTGTTTGAACCTTTTGTACCCATAATTTGCGAGATGATAATGTAGTTGTATGGATTAATAATATGTTTCAGAATAATATGATGATTTAAACAATGAGTTATGTGTTCTTTGAACCATGTGTATCTTAAGTTTGTGAGTTGATAATGTTGTTGTACTGAGTAATCATTTTATTCGGAATAATATGAAAATTTGAAATAAAATTATGTATGTATGGATGCAGTTATGTGTTCTTTGAACCTTGTGTACCTTCATTTTGTGAGTTGATAATTTTGGAAGGAGTTACAAAAATTAATGAGTTACAAAAGTTTTTCAGAACTATGAGTTACAAAACTTTACCAACGGGTTACAAAACTAGTCTAACGAGTTACAAAAATTGATTAAGGGGTTATAAATTTTTTTTTACAGAATTAAGAGTTACAAATCTTGATTAAGGCGTTACAAAACTGGTCTAAGGAGTTATAAATTTTTTTAAGGAGTTACAAATTTTTTTCGGAACTATGAGTTACAAAACTTCAACAGTTGGTTACAAAACTAGTCTAACGAGTTACAAAAATTGATTAAGGGGTTATAAATTTTTTTCCAGAATTAAGAGTTACAAAACTTGATTAAGGGGTTACAAAACTGGTCTAAGGAGTTATAAAATTTTTTTAAGGAGTTACAAATTTTTTTCGGAACTATGAGTTACAAAACTTCAACAACGGGTTACAAAACTAGTCTAACGAGTTACAGAAATTGATTAAGGGGTTATAAATTTTTTTTTCAGAATTAAGAGTTACAAAACTTGATTAAGGGGTTACAAAACTGGTCTAAGGAGTTATAAAATTTTTTAAAGGAGTTACAAATTTGCCTTAACAAGATTTGTAACTCTTAATTCTGTAAAAAAAAATTTATAACCCCTTAATCAATTTTTGTAACTCGTTAGACTAGTTTTGTAACCCGTTGGTAAAGTTTTGTAACTCATAGTTCTGAAAAACTTTTATAACTCCTTAGACCAGTTTTGTAACGCCTTAATCAAGATTTGTAACTCTTAATTCTGTAAAAAAAAATTTATAACCCCTTAATCAATTTTTGTAACTCGTTAGACTAGTTTTGTAACCCGTTGGTAAAGTTTTGTAACTCATAGTTCTGAAAAACTTTTGTAACTCATTAATTTTTGTAACTCCTTCCAAAATTATCAACTCACAAAATGAAGGTACACAAGGTTCAAAGAACACATAACTGCATCCATACATACATAATTTTATTTCAAATTTTCATATTATTCCGAATAAAATGATTACTCAGTACAACAACATTATCAACTCACAAACTTAAGATACACATGGTTCAAAGAACACATAACTCATTGTTTAAATCATCATATTATTCTGAAACATATTATTAATCCATACAACTACATTATCATCTCGCAAATTATGGGTACAAAAGGTTCAAACAACAAATAATTGCATCCATACATTAATAACTTTAGTTCAAATTATCACAATGTTCCGAAACACATGATGGTTATTGTAAGTCAGGGAAATACGCTTGCAAACTAATTTGTTTTAGCTCTCCATTAACTTTCTCGACCTCCACCTGCAACATTTTTCATCTACAAAAAAAAATAACTTTATTATGAAAAATGCATCGAAATTGGGGGGGGGGATCAAATTATGATGAAATATAATACCTTAGCTAAAGGACAACTTGTTATATAATGTCCTTTTCCCTTACAAAATCCACAAAATCTTTGTTTTTTTATACTCTTTTCTTGAGCTATTTCCATTCCGGACTTAATTCTAGTAGCCTGAGTTGGTCGTCCCTTCGTGGCAACGGGCTTATCTGGATCACGAATAGTAATTTGAGTTGCTTCCTCTATAGAGATGGGTATGGATGAAGTAGGCATCTTGTTGCTGGCATTGCTCTCATTTCCATCATCGTTATGTTTTTTGTCTTTATTGTAATTCTCAACTTCTTCAAAAAAAGAGTCTAAAAGAGCACTAAACTTATCATGAAGTGTACTTGAAGTCAATGTGTCTTCTAGTGCCTTGTTGCATCTACTCCTAAGAGCCCAATGTTTAATGATAGAGAGTTGGTCTTTACTATTTGTAATGCAATTTCTAACAACTCCAAACCCAACATGTCTTGCATTAATTGTCCATCGTTGCATAATATATCTTGATGGAATTTCTAATACTTGCTTCTTTACTAAAATGTGCAAGCTATGTTTGCATAATATACCTTCCATCTCAAATCTTGCACAAGAACACTTAATTCTTTTTTCTTTGGATGCATCGAAGACAACATGATGCTTTTCTACCTTCTTGCTTCCAGCCTCCCTATCTATATTCCAAACGGCATAAGTAACACTTGCGCCATCCTTCGACAACCTCTCATGAAGCATTGAGTAACTATCCTTGAGTTCTTTCTGAAAGATAGTAAACATATTCTTTGTATAATTCTCCCTAGCTTGTTTTTCAATTGGATGATCAATTATCAATGTAGGAATTGTGTTTGTGGACTTAAAATCTTGCTCAAGTTCGGCCGCTCGTCGAGCTCTGACAGCATTATCATATTGCTTAACAAAATCATGTAACTCGGTATTGGAATTAACAAAGTGATCAAAAAAAGCATTAATTCCCTCACTCCGCTGAGTAGATGTCATTCCTGCAGTAAAAGTATCTTTAAGATACACAGGAGCCCAATGATCTCGATGATTGTATAAATTAACTAACCAGCTCCTTTTATCTGCACCATATTTATCCCTCATTTCTTCCCAGCGCTTTTCAAATTTTTCTTCTGATTTACTCCAATACGATTGTATAAATTAACTAACCAGCTCCTTTTATCTGCACCATATTTATCCCTCATTTCTTCCCAGCGCTTTTCAAATTTTTCTTCTGATTTACTCCAATACCATTTGTAATACTTTATAGAAACTTCATCACCAAAATCATAACGCATTGATTGAAAATTTTGTAATGCATTCCTATGAAGGTGCCAAGAACAAAAGCGATGTCGAGTTTGAGGAAAAACTTTGTGAATTGCACCACACATAGCTTTATCTTGATCAGTGATGATTGTTACTGGTGCTATACCCGACATACATTTTAACCATTGGCTAAATAACCATATAAACGTCTCCTCCGTTTCATCGGCCAGTAACGCACACCCAAATAGAGTAGACTGTCGATGATGGTTAACGCCCGTAAATGGTGCAAACGGCAATTTTAAATTGTTCGTTCTATATGTAACATCAAAGCAAACAACATCTCCAAATTGCAAGTAAGAAGTCCTCGACCTACCATCCATCCAAAAAACACTTCTCATCATCCCATCATTTTCTAAATCAAGTGCGAAGTAAAATTGAGGATCAGATACCTTTTTCTCTTGAAATTGACGAACTATGTTCACACATTCATGTCCGACATTGTTTCTTCGTTTAATTCTTAGATGACCTTGGCATTCTTGTGGTGTGAGAGAGCCTTGTTCATTTGCATGAGCAACGTCTAAAACCTTACAAATGGTAGAAGGCCGTAAACCTTGGCTGTCAAGAGTATCTATCAACCTTTTTGTCGCTCGAGATCGATGAAGTGTCCGATGCGAGTAGTGCTTCTTTACCCGATTTGGGGTGGTTAATGAATGATCATTATGATTAATGTTTAAAATTCGGATCATCCATTTTTTAGTGCTTCTATCGAGTCTAATAACCATCCTTGCGTTGCATCCACATCTTGTATCAAACTTTCGAATTACATTCCGACCATCTTCTCTTTTATCTTTTAAAGATTTAAAGCCTTCTTTGTCACATACAAATATTCTAGATAGGATTGCATCTTTCTTTCTCGACCAAGCTGTGTGACCCTTGCGAACACCAAATCCCTTAAGTCTGGCGTATGCATTGTAGAAATTATAAGCTTCCTCATGAGTAGAGAACTCCATTCCGATATATGGATCAACGCTGTTTAAATTATCTTCACCATTTTCAACGCCCATAAGCTCATCACCATTCTCCTCATGCTCGGATGCCTATAAAAATAGAGAAACAAAACTCATGCTAAAAGACAACTATTTTGGTATATGTCATTAGTTAGTAGTACACTATAAACAATAAGATATTATCACCTGAGGGGGAAGCCATGTTGTAGATAGTAGATCATGGTCCTGGCTTTTATCTTCTTCCATTGTTGCCTCACGTGAGAGAATTGGTGGAGTGTCTATACAAGCTATCAAATTATCACATATAAGAAGTTCAAAATCGCTCAAAAAACGTCATCAAGTTGATCTTTCAATTTCACTAAACAATTTCTAAACGATAGTTTAAACCAAATTTAAAGTTTATATCCAATTTAACAATACATGGCAAAAATAGCTCTAAATTATCCGGCTCGTAGCCATAGAGTGAGTGCTGCAAACCAAGTAATGTATGAGCTGAAATTAAAAGGAAGAAGATAGATCCAAGGAATATGCATGAGGGAAGATAGAACCATCATGAAATCCACTAGATCTAACAGGAACGCCAACTAGAACTAACATGCCTCGTAATAGAACTAACATCATCTCCATTAGAGCTAACATGCATCCCGGTAGCATTAACATGCATTTCAGTTAAAACTAACACGTTAATTTAGAGCTAGCTAACATGCATTTCAGTTAGAACTAACACGTTAATTTAGACCTGATGCCTTACCTCGGTGGAGGCGAGCTCGACAGCGGCGAAGTGCGATGAGCCGGCGGCAACACTGAGCGGGGACGGCAAGCGCAGGCTGCGGCGATTTCGTGAGGTGGAGAGGAGGGGGGAGGTGATGGCGAGGATGACGTCGAGGGCTTGATCGATCTCCGGAGGCGGCGATGAACCTGAGGGCTGAGCTCGAATGCCGTCGGAGGCGTGGCTGATGACGAGGGGTGAGCTCGATGGCGAGGACGAGTAGACGGCGATGACCCGGCGGCGACGCTCAGCTGCGGTGATCTCGGGCGCTGGAGAGGAGGAGGGGAGGTGATGGCTAGGGCAAGGGGACGGCGGCGACGCTGATCGGGGACGTCGAGACACAGGCCGAGCTTGGGCGCCGGCGCTTTCGGGCGGTGGTGAGGGGGAGGAGGTCGGTGATGGCGACCGAATGCGCGATCTTGAGCCGGCGGCGACGCTGATCGGGGGCGGCGAGCTCCGGCGGCGATTTCGGGCGCTGGAGAGGAGGAGGCGGGAGGTGATGGCGCGATCTGGGCGGGAGAGATGAGAGAGGGGTAGGGATTTTGGGGGGATGGGATTTTCAACGAAGGGCTCAGATCTCTCTGAGGGGTTTTGAATAAACGGCCCAGATCGCGCATCCTCAGATGACAGCCTACGGAGTCACCGCAGATTCACTTGACCC